AACAGGAGCCACTCAGACGTCAACACAGACTGTGGCTGTGGCAGGTCCACGGATCCAGACATGGCCCCTGGCAGCAGCCCAGGCCTGCATGACACCATGACCCTGGGTGGCAGCACAGGCCACTCTGATCTGCGTGGCCCTGGCAGAGGTTCAACCCTGAGACACTAACATGGCCCTAGGTGGTGGCCCAGACCCCTGACATCTGTGTGGCCCTAATTGGCACTATAGGCCACGGACAGCAATACAGACTCCAGTTGTGGGTGGACCACAGATCCAGACATAGTCCTTGGCAGCAGCCAGGGCCCAGATGTCACCATGTCCCCGGCTGGCAGTGCAGGTCACTTATATTGGCATGGACCCAACAGCCCTGTGGTCTTCAAACCCCCAAATGGCCCCAGGTGTGTGCCCAGATCCTGGGTATCTGCACTGCCTTCAATGGGAACAGGAGCCTGAGACATTATCGAAGACCCTGGCTATGGCAGGGCCACGGACCCAGACATGGCCCTGGCTGTAGTTCAGGCCTATATAACACCTTGGCCCTGGGTGGCAGTGCATGTCACTCAGGTCTGTATGGGCTCTGCAGCAGTATAGCCCTCAGGCACCAAGAAGGCCACAAAGGGAGGACCAGATGCCAGGCATCAGTATGGCCTTTGGTGGCAACACAGGCTGTGAACATCAGCACAGACTCAGGCTGCAGTAACCACAGGCCCAAACATAGTCCTTGGCAACAGCCTGGGCCTGGATGTCATTGTGGCCCTAGTTGCCATTGCAGATCACCCAAATCATCATGGTCCCAGTGGTGGCGTGGCCCCCAAATGCCAGCATGTTCCTAGGTGGCAGCCCAGACCCTGGGCATCTGCTCACCCTTCCGTGGTAAAAGGAGCCACAGACATTGACAAACACCCTGGCTGAGGTAGGACCATAGATCCAGACATGGCCCACAGCCACAGTTCAGGACCAGAGGACACCATGACCCAGGGGGACAGCATGGGCCACCAAGGTCTATATGGTCCCAGTGGTGGCAGCTTGACCCTCTAAGACCAACATGGTATCAGGTGTCAGCCCAGACTGAGGGTCTCGGCACAGCCCTTGGTGGTAACAGGAGCTGTGGATATCAACTCAGAGCCTGGTCACAGCAGGGCCACGGACCCAGACATGACCCCAGGCAGCAGTCTGGCTGGATGTCACTATGGTCCTGGGTGGCAGTACAGGAATCCATGATTGGCATAGCCCTTGTAGGGGGCACATCCTTTGTACATCAACATGGTCCCAGAGAGTGGCTCAAAGGCCCTCAGTGGTAGCAGGAGCCATAGATATCAACACAGACCCCAACAGCTGTATTAGGGTCATGGACCAAGTCATGGCCCTTGGCTGCAGCCCAGGCCCAAACATCGCCATGGCCCTGGGTAGCAAGCAGGGCATCTACCTCAGCCCATTCCTCACCACCCTTGCTTCTTCAGATCTGTCTCTCTCTGCGGCACATGAATTGTCCTGCCTCTTCCATTTCACCACCTTGTACTCACTCACCATAATAATGTCTGATAGCCTGGTGCCTCTGCACCCAGATGGGCTTGTGAGTGAATTCTGTGTTTGTCCTCCAGAGCCTGCCAGGCCTAGAAACACTGAGCAGTTCATAAACCCTGGATTTCTCAAGGGCTATGTCATTATGATATTCGGGTACATGTGCTTTAAGAAAAAAAAATGTTTATTTGAAACAAATGTCTGTTTATTTTTTCGTGGTGCTTGTGATCAAGCTCAAGGCTCTGCACAAGCTAGGCAAGTATTGTTCCACTAAGCTAAACCTCCTACCCTCATTGCTGTACATGAATCAGGATCGTATTAAAACACAACAGTGCCGGGCGGTGGTGGCACACGCCTTTAATCCCAGCACTCGGGAGGCAGAGGCAGGCGGATCTCTGTGAGTTCAAGGCCAGCCTGGGCTACCAAGTGAGTCCCAGGAAAGGCACAAAGCTACACAGAGAAACCCTGTCTCGAAAAACCAAAAAAAAAAAAAAACACACACACACAACAGTAAACTTTGCCTTGGTCCATTTAGGCTACCGTAACAAAAATACCATAGTTTCCTTAATTTATAAGTAATATAAGTTTATTGCTCAGACCCCTAGAGGATGAGAAATGTAATATCAAGGCATCCACAGATATAGTCTGACTCTGATGGCATACAACCTGACTTCTTGAGCATCTTTACATGGAAGGAGCAAAAATATTCTCCAGGCCTCTTTTATAAGGGTATTACTCAGGCCTTCTTGACCTAATCGCACTCAAAAGCCCCATATGTTAAAAACACTATATTGTAGATGACGTTTTAACATAAAAATGTTAGGTGGACATATTCACAGTGTAGAATTTTCTGATGGGAATGACATAAGGTGCCATCAATACTAGAGAGTCCTTCAAAAAAGTTCTTGGGTTACAAAACAGCCTATGTCCCTTTGAAAGGAGCAAGCCATTGGGTCATAACTATATAACACTGGGATTTGGAGAAAAAGATAGAGAGAAGGAATACAAATTAGCAGCTCCAGTGTTTGAGTCAAGTATTCATGTAGTAGAATGAATACATGGTTGCAGTTGCAGCTCCACCATTTGTAGGTAGGTCACCTCTTCCAGCTGTCATCTAGTTATCAGAGGTGGCCAGTTTATCACCAAGAGGACTTGTAGGTTTTTACTGCCCAGCTAGACCCGGGTCTGGTTCCAATAGAAAAAGTGAACGCTGCTCTAAGAGATACACACTTAGGTTCTCTGTGCCATCTTTACTGCTCTCTCCCAAATGAACATAAGCACTGGGAAGAGAAGAGTAAATCAGTATGTATGGGGGGCGGGGGGTTAGGAACGTAGGCCAAAGACAGCAGGAATGCTAAGGGAAATACATGGGAAGAAGTAGAACCAAAGGACATAAGCATGTCCAAACCCAGGTAAGCTAATATTGGAAGAGAAGTATGAGAAAATCTTAAAAGCAAAGATGATATAAAATTGTTTTCTAGAAACACAGAGAACTGAAAAGATGTGAAGAAAGAGAAGGATAATGGAGAAAAGAAATTCTATGTCAGGCTAGGCCAAGAGGTTGAGTTTGAAATGGAGACAAACGTTCCAGGGCAGCCAAGGTGGAGGACCGGGACAGTAAAAAGATCTAAAACACACACTAGACAGGCTGAAGCAGTAAGGACGGCATGTGTGTCCCAGGTGGCATTCGGCGTGAGAGGTGGAGGAGAGCTTTCACGCAGGCTCTGTCCAATACTGCGGCTGGAGAGCAGCCAAGAGTTCTGCTGAGAGGCCGGGAAGGAGGACGGACGATACAAACAGATAAGGACATGCTTGCACATCCTGAATGCCCCTTGTCCCCTCTAGTGCCACTCCTCAGTGTCATCCACGGGGACTGCTTTCCCATTGTTTCCATCACAAAGTGTTTGTTGCCGTGATTTGCCAAACTTAACATGGGCATACACATACTTTAAGGTGTGTGTCCACACTGACACCTTGTAAGGGTTTCCTTTGCCCAGCTCGCTGATTGCTTGACATGTTAGAGTCCTGTGATCTTTAATAGGGTATCTGCAAGCCACGCCTACTATGTAGCTATCCACACCTGAGATGTGTGTAAATGAGCATGATATACTGGATTTCTATAGGAGAAATGCTTGGTGCTGGTACCCTGAAATCTTGGACCATCCACATGGGCCATGCAGGTAAAGCTCAGCGTCAAGTTGACTAGGGTCTTGGTGGAAGACCCTGTGACTTTCCCAGAACACAGGAAGTGACTTATACAGGTGACTACAAGACTGTTTCCTCACCTCCCTATCTCGATGGAGGCTACCACAACGCAGTGTCTCATCAGCCTTCCTCATTGTAGGATGGAGGGCTTTCTGCTTCTGGAGGCCACAGCCCTGCTCAGCTACAATATAACACTGGCAACTCAACAGCAGGGGGTCCACCATCTTATATGTCATCTGAACCCGTTAATTTCAGGATCATCCTTTGAGACAAAAGGCCCCGGGAGCTTATAGCACTATTCTGTTTTTGTTATCTCTGTAAGTAATAAACTGTATGTAACTGGATTCTCATCTTACCACAAGCTGACATCTTGACAATTCTGAAGACTTAGGAAAAACAGGCAAAATATTAAAATAATTGTTTAAATTAATAATAATATTAATTATAAATCTATAGTTGAAATGACAGCATTTGTTCAGTGAGCTAAAATATTAAAATGAATTCTCCATATTTAGCCTTATGTTTTAGATGTGTTTACATTTTTAAATTATAGATGTGACTTGCATTTGTATTGGACAGCATTGCTATGGACTGCCAAGGAAAGAAAAATTGGTGCAGATGAAGGACTAATAGAGCTTTATTTTGCCATGAAATGGCATTAAATAAAATGATCATCATAAGTACATGGGGACATTTTAACACAAAAAATATATATAGTCACAATCTCAGAATAAAAGATAGAGCATAGCTGAATAGATATGTTTTCATGGATACTCACGGTAGTGGCCCTGGTGACTGAATAGGTATGTTTTCATGGACACTCACGGCAGTGGCCCTGGTGGCTGAATAGGTATGTTTTCATGGACACTCATGACTGTGGCCCTGGTAACTGAATAGATACGTTTTCATGGACACTCACGGCAGTGGCCCTGGTGACTGAATAGGTATGTTTTCATGGACACTCACGGCAGTGGCCCTGGTGACTGAATAGGTATGTTTTCATGGACACTCACGGCAGTGGCCCTGATTTTTCTCATATTGTTTCACTTACTAGAAAAACCTCAGATCAATGAGAAAATTTCCGAACCATTGCTTATACTGTAAAGTGAGCTCTTCTTTTTGGAAAAGGAAACTTGAAGGGGCCATGAAGAGAAGTAACTACACCAGTGAAACAGTGTCTTGTGGCTTCATGACCTAGCTCTTCTCTTCCCATGCTGAAATATTGGAGGAGGGTAGAATGTCATAACTGGAGAAAATAACCAGAGGGACCAAAGTAAACAAATACAAATTTATTCTTTTTAAAGCAGAATTCAAGGATAAAATGGGAAAAGCACCACAGTGAGTGGCAATTGATGTTAACCCATTTGCTCCTAGCCCCGACCATTAATCCCAAACTTTTGGACAATTGCATGCCATTCTTGACACCTCCTCCCCAACCCCATCCCTAATTTTCATCCTTTTGATTCGTTCCTACAGCCAGCAAACAGCACAGCCGATTTCAGTCTGCCCTTAATACTGCCGTGGGAACAGCAAGGCCATTCATCAGGTCTCCTCCCAAACATGACAAGTGAGGAGGAGAAGGACAGGAGCCCTGGCCTAGAGTCACAAGTGTCAAAACAGTAAGAAGTACCTCTTTGTTCCAAGTACCAGCTTTCTGCAGGGCGGTCCACAGATTGGGCTACCCAGCTGAGGAGCTAAATGCCCACAGACCTAGGGGAGTGCCTCCAGGTTCTCTCCCAGGACTATTCATAATAAGGCAGCAACTTGGCTGGCTAGCTGTCAACAGTGTCAAGGGAAATCGGATGGAATTACTGCCAATGAAAATATGAGTTCAAAAAATGCTCTAGCCTGAAGCTGGACATGAAGCCCCGAAACCCTTTTAAAACACATACCCCACACACCCCAGGAAGCAAGGATATAACTTAGAACTAATCTGGTGATAAAGATCTCCCGGGCTTGGCCTCTGCCTTTCCCCTAAGTTTGTTTTTAACTACTGTGCTCTGCCAGACCAGTTCACAAAACACCTGCAATTCTCAAGCAGGTTCCTCCATAGGGAAAGACTGCCTCACTCTGGGACTTGAGAGATACATTGAGAGCCTTCATTCCAACCTTTGCATTCTGAAGAGAAGGGCACATTTCCTCCTTGTCGGAACACTCTCTAGGAAACGACCTGGGTACCACAGCCTTATGTTTTCCAGCCAGTCAGCCTTCCCTAACAATTGCCAATCAATGCTCTAGCTGAAAGCACAGCTACCCTCCCAATGGCTCATTGTTCTCTATCGAATTCTGTCCAGAATAAATTGCCTCCACTATTCGATAACAAGTCCAGTAAACACGTTCCTCATCACTGATACTAATCTCTTAAGTCAGAAGGTTTTTCTTAGGCTCCTAACCCAGCAACTCACTCGCTACCTCTCAGTCACACCTTACACAAGACTCCTTTAGGAGTTACAACACACAACTTCCCCCAAAACATAGAACGCATCTTTGCTAACTTCATCCCCAGTGTGGATTTACACTGTCCAAGGAGCCTTTTTCATCGCGACATGCCAGCTGCCTACGTGTGCAGCCAGGACTGCTAGTGGACCCTTGAGCCATGTACTCACCTCCGCATTGCAGCGAAACACAAGCTGGCCAAGTGCCAGTGACTCCCCTAGCGAGGCTTCAACCCTGACTTGCTGCTTCGGACTACCTCCAGCACAAATCCTACATGACAAGATCAACGTCTTTTCTACCAATTCCAGTCCAACGCAGTTGTCACAGACCCTCAGCAGCCTCAGAGCTCTTTAGTGGAGGCTAAGGAAAGGACTCCCATAAAAGATCGCTCCGTAGTAGCTGTCCTCTGCAGGCGTAGGGAGGCACATACTTGATAGTTTCTGAGTCCTCTGTTCCACAACAAACGTATCTGAATACTGCCCACAATCCAGGCCCCTACAAAGATGCCTCATTCTGATGATGCCCTGGCTCTGTGTTTGATGCTTGCTTACCAAATGCTCATCACATAAACGGATACCCAGTTATTGGGCCCAGAGACCTCCAGACATAAATTTTGACCCCTAAACCTGTAGCTTAGTTGTGGAGAATGCAATCTTGGCTTCTTGAGTCAAGCTACTGCTCTATGTACCCAGAATAAATCAGTCTAGGATCCTAGCAGTTCTACATGCTGGCCATGGCTAGGTTTATAAACCAGAACTCCAACCATCTCACTCCTACTGACCTTGGTGACAACCACTGCATTATGTAAGGCCATGAGCTAGACTTTAGGAACTTAGGGGACCATAGTATCTATTGTATGTCTTAGCCTGGCAAAGGCTATCATACACCTTTTGTTCCTTCTTTTCTGTGTGGAATGGGTAGAGGTTGGATGTCTTCTCTTTTGGCTCCTAAATCACAGTTTAGGGGTGGCCAGAAAAAAAAAAATCCCTAAGGACCAAGTCTCAGTGGAACAAAGTTTGGAATTAGTGAAGAGAACAGAATGTCTCTTCCTGTTTGATTACTCTGTGGCCACGGACGTCCACTGCTTTGGTATTAAGGTCAGCTCACCTCAAATGTCAATGGAGAGAAACATCCCAGGGCACAGGCAGGGTGGATCTAGCTTCCCAACCAGAGACTGAGAGAGACTAACAAAGAGCAAGGCAGGGCACTAATTCTTCCAGAAGTATTAGAATTTAATGTGTGAATGAGGCTGGGAGAGCACTGGTGTCCAGTAGATATGTAGAATAGAGATGGATGGATGGGTAAACTCAAAATTTAGTCAATTGCATGGCTCTGGGGAGGAAGCTCTCTTCTGGAGAAAGTAGCCCAAGTGGGCTCTGGCTCCATTCCAAGTTCCCCAGCCAACTCTTCCCACCTCCACACTCTATTTGGAACAGTTGCTGGACAAAGGAATCGCGGTATATACAGTCTAGGAAAAGTTAGTTCATTCTTAGGACTGGGTTCACATTTCAGAGTTAGCAACAGTTTTATGCATAGGAAGACCTTGCTGCTATCTGGATGGAATGTGGCCAGTTTGCTGATTCAAGTCAAGTGGCTTTTAGGCAGGCACCACTATTCAGGCTGGTCAGTTGGAACTTTCCAGTGAACAGCTGGGGGCAGTCAGCCACCTCACCTAACCCAGCCTACGCTCTCAAATGGTTATAGCTTGGAGAGTGGCAGGCTCACATTCCCCTAGGATAGAAGGTTTCTTTTCCTCTTACCCAAGGAGAGAGAGAGCGAGCGAGCAAGGCATCCTTGTTGAAGAGAGTGCCACTCCTGCCCCAGATCTGTGAGGACAGACTCAGAAGACCAAAGAGTGGCTTCATATGGGTACGAGAGCATCTCAAGAAGTCTCTTGGGATGCCAAGGTCTTCAGGAAACAGGAGGATCGGGGGTAGGGACTAGAAACCCACAAGAATGTCTTTAATGGTCCCAAATACAGGGTGGAAGCACAGCCACGGTGAATTGTTCCTCCATCAGAGAAGATCTGATAGGTACTGTGGCGGGAGGAAGTTACATGGTTGAGTAAGAACCATGTAGGTAGAATTCTGAAGGTGAAAACCATGCTCTGTAGCTGAAGTAGTAGGACATACACTGCCCAGACTTCCCTAAGGGGCACTTTGGATGGGTGTCTCAAGGATACCCATTTGCCTCTTCCAAGTGGGCCAAAGAGTAGGCCTAACCCCTCCGGGGGTCCATAATGCAGACACCCTGGGGCCATTATGCTTTCCTCTCCATGATTCCATGGAGGACAGAAAGGGGCCAGTGGGCACTGCTCAGCTCTGCAAGGCAATTCTCTGGTCCTCCTCTGGATGACAAGTGTGATTTGCCTTTGCCTGGGCTGCAACAGCAGGATAACATAGGGACAGGCTCAGTCTTAAGGATTAATGGGACCCTCTCTAGAGGAAGCCCACCTGTCCTCCCCCCCCCCACATCTCACATACCATCAGATCCCCTGCTGCTGCCCCAGGTCCAAATATCTCTGGTTGAGGAATGTGGGGCCAGTGGGTAGTGGAAAGGTTGGGCGGAGGTTGAGGGAAGGCTTTGACAAGAATCAGGAAAGGAAAAGGACTACGGGATGAGGATCTGACTCCATCAAGAGGCCAGCAGGGTGTTCGCCGTCACGTCGGAGCTTCGCACACTGGGGAAGGCATGACGGAGCTTCTCCATGATGTCTTCTAAGCATAGGCTGACATCCTGACTCTTTGACCCCACATCATCTACGTTGGAAGAGAGAAATCGAGGAAGACTTCTTGAGATTTCCTTTATAAGAAGGAAGCCAAGAGGCGGAAGCAAGCTGCTGCGAGCTGGACAGTGGGTCAAGAGTATTCGCACCCTCCCATTTGAAAGACTAGTATGTAGGAGGCACTCACTAGATATTTTTCTTAGAAGACACATATGAGAGAAACCGTTAAGAAATCAATTATACACATCCCTAATCCCAAGCTCTAGTAAAACTTTGGGCAGGCAATCAAAGCAAGGACCAATCGCTGGAGGAAGGGGATGGAAGGCCTAGATGGGGGGACTTACCTGCTGCCTCAGAGTCTGGAGTAGTCTGGCCCTTCTCCCGGGGATGACTGCCTTCTGACTGGTGTGGAGAGGAAGCTAGGGATGAGCTTGCAGAACCATTGCCGTCTGACTCCGTAGGTGGCTAGCAAGAGGTAAGGCATGATTTAAGTGGCTTTGGCTTCCTAACCTCATTCTTAGACTCCTGAGCTTCAAAAGAGACCTTAGAGACCTCATGCCCAGCCTTATGCCCCGGGTCTTTAAGAAGCTTTTCATAGTGCCATAAACCATGACTTTCTCCTTTAAGAAAGCTCTTAGACCGTTTAATTATCAATTAAATTCTTCCTTTAACAACAAGATGAGTCAAAAGCTCCTGGTTCCTCTTTTTTTTCTTCTCTTTTTTTTTTTTTTTTTTTTTTTTTTTTTTTTTTTTTTTTTTTTTTTTTTTGGTTTTTTGAGACAGGGTTTCTCTGTGTAGCTTTGGTGCCCGTCCTGGATCTCACTCTGTAGCCCAGGCTGGCCTCGAACTCACAGAGATCTACCTGGCTTTGCCCCCTGAGTGCTGGGATTAGAGGCGTGCGCCACCACCGCCGCCCGGCCTGGCTCCTGGTTCTTACAGGAATGGCATTACACCTAAAGGTCTCTTGCTGTCATTTCCACTATAATTAAGTTGTTTGGAGCCCCAGTTTCTCTGGAGTTTGGCCGCTGCACACCGCATTCTCAGCTCATGACACAACAGCGTAAGTCAGACAACTCAAGGGATTCATTAAATACTGTCTCTGGCACTAGAGAGGGCAATGAAATACATGTCACAAAAAAGGAGAATGGGGGGCTGGTGGGGGGGGAGGAAGGGAATGAGCTTGAGGGGGCACAGAGGAGGGCAATGGGGAAGGAGAGTAGATGAGAACGAAGTATGATCGCACAGATATGTACAAAAAGGCCATGAGGAAAACACTACTTTGAATGTTAACTTAAAAATTGGTCAAGAAAAAAAAAAAGGCTGTACTTTGGATAATCCAGAGACAGGGTGCCACCATCTGCTGCACACGATGACAATGACAGTTAACTATTTCATTGGTGGACTATATTCCTGCTATCTTGCTGAATCCTGCGCTACGTATTATTTAATTGTTTGTTTGTGTGATTTTCAAGACAGGGTTTCTTTGTGTAGCCCTGACTGTCCTGGAACTCACTCTGTAGCCCAGGCTGGCCTCGAACTCACAGAGATCTGCCTGCCTCTGTCTCCCCAGTGCTGGGATTAAAGGTGTGCGCCACCACCGCCCGGCACATTATTTGATTTTTAGGATGATTACAATCTTATGATGCTGGTGGCATTACTTTTTAAATTTTTATTATTATTACTACTGGGTATATGTGTGTGGTGTGTGTAAACTCATATATGCTACAGAGCATATGTGTAGGCCATAGGGCAACTTTGTGGAGTTAGTTTTCTCTTTCCACCTTTACATGGGTTCCAGGGATTGAACCCAAGTTGGCTGGCCTGCGTGGCAAGGACTGTACTGGCTGAGCTATCTTGCTGGTCCTTTAAGAAAAGATTTGTTTTCATTTTTATTTCTGTGTATGCATCTGTGAGTGTATGCCACATGTGTGTGGGTACTTCCAGAGGCCAGAAGAAGGTGTCCGGTCCCCGGACCTGGAGTTACTCATTTGTGAGCTGCTTTACATGGGTGCTGGGCAGCTGAACTCAGCTCCTCTGGAAGAGCAGCAAGCTTTCTCAACCGCTGGGCCATCTCTTCAGCTCCAGTATTTTGTTTCCCTTAAAAAAATGTAGCTAGTATTGTCATCACCTCCATTTAAAGACAACTGGGGCCGAGTAAGGTTAAAGAACGTTCCCAGCACCTCCCAGTCACTAACTGACAGCATAGATTCAAAGCCGGGCTGTCGGGCGCCCCCAGAGCTGCCTAACCTCCCAGAGACAGAAAGGGCAAAATGCAACAAAAGAGCAATCTTGTAAAATATTTCTCTTGCCAAACCTGTCCAAGCCTGAAAATGCCACATTTTTGGATTGTGTGTTGGTGTGTATGTGTGCGTGCGTGAGCACACATTTATTTGAGTGTTACATGTATGTGGAGGCCAGAGAACGACTTTGGGTGTGAGTCCTCAGGTGTTGTCCACCGTTCTTTTCTGTTTTCTTTCCTTCGTTTAAAGAGACAGAGTCATTCTCGGGCCTGGAACTCACCGAGTAGGCTAGGCTGGCCAGCAAGCACCAGTAACCCACGTCCCTGGCACGGGGATCCAAGTGTGTGTTACCACATCTGTTTTTTTTTTTTTAATGGTCTCTGCAGATCCAGCCTAGGTGCTTGTGCTTGGTGCTTTACTGTCTGAGCCGCTTTGTTGCAGGTAGTTTTGGAAGTGTGTTCTTTTAATACCAGATTCTAATGGGCTATGAACTAGGAAGTCCTTCCTCTGCCTCCAGGCCGGATGTAGCTTGGGAGGGACACACAGACATGGTATGGAAGTGGATGGGAAGAGGACTGGTTAAGGATGTAGCCATACTGCCCATTTTCATCCTTCTTCATCCCTTCATCCCCATTGCCAGTCAGCTCTTCTCAAGAAGTCACCTGACTGTGCCACAGCCAAGGGGCGCTGTCTCTTGCCTCTGCTGCACCCCAGCTCTCTATGTCCTCTTCCTGAGCCAGGGACTGCCCTCCTCCTCCATCTCCAGCCTCACCTGCAGGAGCAGCTCCCTCAGGCGCTGCAGTTGAGACTCTAACTGCTTGTTGTGGTCTTCAAGGATCTGCATGCGCGTCTCCAGGCGGCTCTTGTGCTGCCGCAGGATCCTGGCTTCAGCCAGAAGCTCTTCATTGCGGTGGTCTGGCGTCACCGCATTGAAGCCCTCGGTCAGGGTGGGGGCCTCTGCCGCTTCTTCGTGCTGCCATTTCAGGCGCCTCAGCTCTCCCTGGAGAATCCTGCCATGGACATGGAAGCCAAGACCTAGGGCTTTAACAGGGTCAGCTCGCTATCCAGATTCTACAGGTCCCCTCTTTCCCAAGTGTGAGGGATCACTGCGCTCTCCCAACCCACGCCCTGGCAATGCTCTGCTTGAAATGGCCACAGCCACTTCCTCTCCAGCCTATTTGACATTTACTCTGCCATCCTGAGGCCTCAGAGCAGTGAGCTGACATTTCACACAAGAAATGTCTTAAGGGCTGTGATGCTTTGGGGATTAATTTTGACCTTCAAAAGCAGTTAAGAACATGTTCTACAAATAAAAGAGGCATTAGTGCCAATGGCTTACCTAGTCTACTTATAGATTTTTAGATTCTAAGGGAAGCATAAATAAAGAGATCACCTAGCCTGCTTCTTCTCGCTACAGCCCTGCAACTTGACCTGCTTTAGATGCTCATAATGGGTCATCAAGGCAACACTCCAAAGAGACAGCCTACTTTTAGGCACAATGCTTTCTGTTGTTTGGGCAAACAGAAACACTCGTCCTAGCATTTCCCAGTACCTGCTCCCTATTGCTTTAATGTAGCTGTTCTCAAACCGTCCCCAGTGAGAACCCAGGGTTTTGACCTTAGTTCACTCCATTGTGTAATGATGGGTTGTCCTAATGTTCACAACTGGCCCATAGTTCACATCACTGCCACCCCTTACCCCACAAGTTCAACAACACTCAAACTGATCTCTAGCCTATTCACTGGGATGGACGACTAATTATGTGCTTCATGCTGACAACGTCAACTTTGCTAGAAAAGTCTAAACCCTTACTGTATGTCTTTCCTGGCCTGGTGACACACACTTTGCAAACTAGTCCTCACCTGCACTCCACCACTCAAGGCACACTGTTCTAAGGCTTGCCATTCCAAGGGAGGCATGCGGACCAGTGCCACTAACATCCCTGTCAGCTAGTTAGAAACAGAAACCCAGGCCTCCCACACCGAGGAGTTAGGACTTGCATCTCCCCAAGTTTTGCAATTGACTCCTGTGTACACTAAGGCTCGTAAAGTATTGCTCCAAGAGGCTCTGCAAATGTTTCTTCCCTCCCTCCAAGGGCCTTCAACTTTCCTCAGGCCCATGAAGCCACTTCTTCTTTTGTGGAGGTTAATGCCATCCCTCGTACTTTGTGTCTCCTGGTTTGGAAATGCTGTATGTAATGTCAAAACCCTCTGGGATACTTTCACTCGGTATCAACTAGTTCTTTCTAGTTTTAGTACAGAAAGTTCTTTGAGAACAAGCACAGGCTATAATCTCTTCTGCATTCTTCCAGGGTTCTCTCTACCTGTACCTAGTGGGTACTTGGAAAAGTCAGGATTATATTACATTTGGTCTTCAAAGAAACCCTGGGAAATTGGTATCATTATTATCCCTATTATACGGCTGAGAACATGGAAGATCATAAGATGTAAGTGACTTGATCCAGGTTTTATAACACATTGAAGTATCACTATTGAGACTTAAGCCACCAGGCTCTGGCACCACACAAATTTATGCCATGGCCACACCTACCGGTTCTCATCTTCTAGATGGGCCAAGATCTTCTCTAGCTCCCCCTTGCTTTCTGTCCCCATGCTGCACGGAGCCTGCTGTCCAAAGGCTGCCTCCCTGTCTGTGATGGGGCTGGAGTGCCGCAACAGGTACTGGTCCTCATCTCTGCGTGGGTGTAGGGAGAGGAAAGCAGGCGGTCAGGTGCTGAACACAGACACAAGTCAAGGGATCCGGGTCTCAGATCCCAGCTCAGCCCCTGGGAAATGTGTGCTGGCACATCCACTTTGAAGTCACATCAAGAAAGCCAGGCCTCGAGTTCAGGCTTTGGGAAGTTGAAAGAGGCAGTATCTGAGAGAGGACTGGGAGAGATTTCCGGGATGCTGAGGTTTCTGAGGTCTTCTTGAGTATAATGAGGATATCACTTTTCTTTCTGGGCAGTGTCCCTGTCCCTGTCCCCTTTCCTTCCTTCTCATCTCCCAGAGGGATCGGAGTCCTAGTCAGGACCAGACTGTTCCCCGTAGTCAGCTGTCCCTGGGCCTTCTTCCCAGGCAAGGGACCTCCCTCAGAGGTGCAAGGGCCCCCTCTCAGTGCTCTAACACACTGCTCCCTTAGGGTACACTTCAGTCGAGTCTCTGCTTTCTCCTAGGGTGGCCATGGCATCATATGGGGTTTTGTATCTTGAGCACAAACAACAGCTCTTTTTTGTAACTTCAGACAGGGGCTTTTACCCCCCCTCAAATTTGAGCGTGGAAGGATGGGATCTTGTGATAGAAGGGGCCTGAGTACATGGCTCACTTGACAGATGGAGAATTGCTCCCCTTTCTAAATGGTGTAGTCAGGACGCAGCCTTCCTTCCTCGGAGAATCAAGGACCCTAGCCACCAGCCTCCCATTCCCAAACAGTGGCAGAAGGATCCCAAGGACAGCTATTTCTGGAAAATTAGCAGCTGTGGAAACTCACATGCTGTCATCCGGGGACAAGCTGTCATTAAAAAAGGAACAATTTTGACTTTCCATCTCAGCAAGCCTAGAAAGAAAGAGCCACAGTAGGAGAGAAAGCAGGATGCGGGGTCTGCTTCCACCTCCCGCACACTAATGGCACCCCAGGATACCTGGCTTAGGGAGCTGCCTCCCACCTACCACTACTAAAGGCTGGGCCTTGATGGCCTTGGCACCTTCCACTCTGTATCTCCCCTGGTTCAGTCTGTTTCTCCTTGTCCTTGAACTTGCTACAGTCCCCACCCCATCCTCCACTGAAATGCAGTGGTACCTGCTGGCAAAATGCTCAATTCGAGAGTGTGTGTCAGCGTGTGGCAACATCGGGGAAGAGGCCGGTCTGGAAAAAAAGCAGCAAAGAGTCAGAGGACCAGAGGCAACTGAAATGCTGTCTCCTCACCACGCTCACCCCTCCACTGCCAAGGTGGCAGTGAGATACAAAAAGAGGCTCCTACTCTATTTCTCGGGCCAGAGTCTAAGTCAGCCTGGCTGACGTGCCTCGCGGCTAGGGGTTTTCCCTCGGGAATGTTCTCTGGCTCATCTGGGACTCAGCCCCTTCCCATGCACAGGCTCGGCTCAGCCATCAGTACTCACGTCTCACTGCAGTCAGTCTCCAGCACTGACTGCACAGGCAGGTAACCTCGCTGAGGGTGTTTGCTGAAATACTGCTTTGAGCGGAATTTATTCTTTAAGGTTGTGGCAAAGTCCCTCATGTTTTCACTGGATGTGGTCTGCAGGAAGACAGGACAGAGGGACCCACCCTAGTGGCTTCCAGACACCATGAGGTGTTGGGAGTCTTCCACTAGAGCACAGAATGTGACTGGCATCCCAATGTTGTTTGTGCCTACCATAACTGCTGCCCCCACCCCACCCCCGTCCCCGTCTAAATGTCTCAAAGAATATACCCTTAACTCTGAACTCTGGGAAGGGAGACTGGAGGGGTGAGGGCCAGAGTGAGGAGGAAGGAGAATTTCCATGTGAAACTTTAAATACCTCTAGCTGCAGAGTTTGACTCTTTTGCAGTAAGCATGCAATTGCTACATTTTATGATAACGCTGTTTTGGTTTTTTTTTTGGGGGGGGGGTTTGCCATTATGCTGGGCTTGTTCAGGTAACCGTACTGTTGAAAGTTCATGGGTTCTTTGCTGCCAAACACAGAAGACACTGTCTCACAGCAGGTGTCCTGGGCTTCCAGATCTTACGATCTTTCCATGCCCCTTTCTGTGATTGTCCCTAATCTTACGTGCAGGGTTCATGTTGAAGATCAGTCAGCTGGAGTCGGGCCGCCCACAGTCACTTATGATCTACATTTTGATTAGTTGTGGATCTCTAAAATAGTATCCATAGTGACAATACCAGCTGACATGCCAACACAGATGGAAATTCCACATGGTCCCACCCTAGATGAAGAGCTACAAGGGGTCAATGCCTGCTGAGAGAGAAAGAACCACTCCCACAGAGTGGTTGTCCAATCCCAAGTGGTCAGCCATGGACATACTAGCAAAACTAAATGGACTCAGTAGGTTGTATATACATGTGTGCACATATATGTGTATATATATATATGTGTGTGTATGCATATATATGCAACAATAATTAAAGAGGGGACACCGGGCTGGGTGGTGGTGGCGCACGCCTTTAATCCCAGCACTTGGGAGGCAGAGCCAGGCGGATCTCTGTGAGTTCGATGCCAGCCTGGACTACCAAGTGAGTTCCAGGAAAGGCGCAAAGCTACACAGAGAAACCCTGTCTCAAAAAAAAAAAAAAAAAAAAAAAAAAAAAAAAAAAAGAGGGGACACCGGAAAAGTTGGAGGGGCAACAGTATGTAGATGCAGCCCTCATTTATGAAGTTCTCAAAAAATAAGATTATTATATAAAAATCTTTTTAATGACTAAAATTTGAAATTTTGCTTATTTGCTGTGCATGTGTGTTTGCATGCACACACTATGATATGCAAGCGGTCAGAGGACAACGTGCAGGAATTGGTTCTCTTCTTCTACCATGTATGGTCAAGGCATCGAACTCCAGTCATCAGGCTTGGCAGAAAGTGCCTTCACCTGCTGTGCCATCTTGCTGCCCCTTTTCTCCAAATTCCAGGGATGGAGAAGACGAACAGGAGGCTGAGGATTATCAGCTTACCTCTTCTAGCTAGTTTTCTCTGCTTGCCCTTTATAATGTTTTACGTAAATGATAAGAAATGGGAATTGAAGGGCATGGCCCCTACTCCATGGGCTCACATCTTCTGTGCTTAAACAATTTGAAGATAACACCTTAGAAAAGTGGATTATAGAGAAACAGGTTGAAATGGAGAGGCAGGGTGGGAGAGAAAGTCAGTTGGAGTGTACTTGAGGTTCTGAAAGAATCTAAGAGCACTGCTATACTGTGGGGTCCGATTCCCAGCACCCACATGGCAACCCACACTGTTTGTCACTCCAGTTCCAAGGGACCTGACACCCTCTTCTGGCCTCTTCAGGCACCAGTCGCGCAAGTGGTCCACAGACATACATGCAGGCAAAGCATCCAGATGCATAAAATTAAAAATGAATAAATCTGAAAAGACATCGAGGGATCGAGCTCAGGAGGCTACACGGGTAGCAACCCTGTGGCTGAGTTCACCGAAGCTGACCAAGATGGGCTCAGGCGGCTGCGAAGGGAAGGCTGCCCATGGAAACCAAGTACAATTTGTGAGTTGAGACTAAAAAATCTTTCTCCTTTTAATGGACTGAGTAATTTGAGCACAGACTTTGGTACTGTCAAGAAGGGGTAGAAAATAGCCCGGCAGTGGTGGTGGCGCAGGCCTTTAATCCCAGCACTCGGGAGGCAGAGGCAGGCGGATCTCTGTGAGTTCGAGGCCAGCCTGGGCTACCAAGTGAGTTCCAGGAAAGGCGCAAAGCTA